GGCGGGGGGCGCAGGGCCGGGTCTGTGGCCGGGGGTGATGGCCCGGGGGAGCATTGTGGTCATCAGCCGGGCGGCGCTCCGTGCCGAAACACAGGTTTGGCGTAAGGCGAAGGGCACTGCGGGGCCTTACCCTCACCTCGCGGTGTAAATACAGGGCATCTCCAAATACTGCTCTGACGTCGCTGTGAAGAAACACAGAGTTTAGCCTGCATCCTCCATGGGGAATCTGCGTAGCACCATGTATTTTTTTTTTTCCTGTGCGTGCCTGCTCCAGGCTCCCAGGACGTAGAGGTCATTCCCCTGTTCTGTGTCTTTATCCTAGCCCTGACACCAGGCTCAGGTACATACGTGTGTATGTGTATCTATACACATATATCTCACCATAACCAGCACGAGCTCCCCCAGCTCCCAGGAAGCCATGCTCAACTCTACTTAACTACTTTGTCTTGCTTTTGAATCTCTTTTCCACCCTCACGTTCTCTAGGCAAAAATATCCCTCTGGCTCTCTCAGGAGGCATCAAGAGGAGAGAAGAAAATGTGAACATCTCTTCCACTTCACAAGTGCCAATTACGTGTTTTTTTTTTCCTCAGATGGTCTACTTGATAAATATAGCGGGCTACATTCAGAGTAACTGTTTTCAACCTGCATTTAGCTTTGAAGTGGGCTGTTTCTATTTTAGGGCGGGAGAAGGATTTGCGTGCCTGAAATCTGGTCCACATTTTTCTGACTATATCTAACTACAATAAAAGAGTTTACCTCTTCCTACAGACCTTGCCATCCTTGCATCATTTAGATTCTGACTACAGGAACATGACCGCTGCTTTTCCATTGCATCTCTGCCACCTGCAGTGCACAGCTTGAACGCACAAGGCAAAGGAGGAAGAGAAGCATATCGGCGTATTTCCTAACTTTTCTATGTTTTATTTGCAAGCTAAAAATGTTTCTAGGAATACAGAAAAAGTTAGGTTGGAAGGGACCTCTGGAGGTCCTCCATTTCATCCCCTGCTCCAAGCTAGGCTAACACAGTTCAGTCAGACTCTCTGGGCCTTATCTAGTAGAGTTGTATTTCCGAGGGTGGAGACTTCACAGCTTCTCTGGACACATGCTCCAGTGCTGAACCATTCACACTGTGAAGAATTTTTTCCGTATGTCCAACCTGATTTTTCCTTGTTGCAATATGTGGCTGTCACCCCTTGCCCTTTCACTGTGTGCTTCTCTTACTTCTCTACCATGGGAGGTTGTAGAAGACTTTGACTGGTTTCCTGCTCCCCCTTTAGTGGTCTCATCTCTGGACTGCCCCAAACCTAGCTTTTCCTGGGGTGCCCTGTGCTCCAGCCCCTTGGCAACCTCAGTGCTTCCCTGCTGGACTCTCTCCCGTTTGTTGACATCTCCCTTGCACTGGAGGGCCCATGACTCGACACAGTTCCTAGTGCAGCTTGTGTGGAGTAGTGGGGAATAAGCACTTTCCTGTGCTGGCTGCACACTTGCTTATACAGCCCAGTGTGTGATCAGCTTTCATCATGACAAGGATGTACTACTGACTCAGTGCAACTTTCCCACAAGGACCTCCACATCCTTTTCTGCAAAGCTGCTCTCTATCCAGTCAGCCCCCCCCTCCCACCCCCCCACTGCTGTGTGGGATTAGTCCATCGCAGATGCAGACTTTGCATATGTCCTTGTTGACCTTAAAGAGGCTTCTGTTGGCCCATTTGTCCAGCCTATCAAAGTCTTCCTGAATGTTTTTTCTAGCCCCACTTTTTGTTAAGTATGTAGTTCCCCAGTCTCTTATGTTTGTGCTATACAAACATGTCTGAAGACCTACTTCATCCTCAGAGCAATATAATTTCTCTTTTTTGTAGATTGTAGAGGCAGGCGGTGGCAGACACTTAGTGGGATGAGCTTTGAGAAGCAGCCTGCCCTTCCTAGCGGTGGCAGCCGTCTTGGAAGGAGAAAGGCCTGTCCTCCCTGGTCTGCTGCCCAGCTCCTGTGGGCACTTCCACACCACTCGTCCTGTCAACCTCCCACCTACCACCAGAAATGACAGGTGCCACAGCACAGATCTGTCCCCTGGGAGGGAATGCAGGTCCTGAGGTGTTCACCTGTGCTACCAGCTTGTTGAAGTAGCCAGTAAGGATACAGATCACAGAATGCCTACTCCTGGACAGCTCAAGGAAACCTTAGATAACATACAGCTGGCTTGCTTTTACTTCATGCCTTACCATGCCTTGCCTCATCCCCTGTCTACTTAGATCTTAAAGCTTCAGCTTAAGTGAGGACTCAACTCAAGGCTACTTCTGTGTTGATATTTTGAAGCTACTGTGAGGTGCCCAGAGGGGAAGTGAAACAGCAGCATCTGAGGAAGAATTTATCCCAGCCTGGCTCTAGACTTCAGGGCTTTCCCAGGCTATATTCTGGTTGAGCAAACACCATTAGTCTCCTTTTTCTGCCCTAAACCTAGTCAATGTAGCGCTACATTTCTAGAATAAATAACAACAACTTCCAAAAGCCGATTTTTGGGTTCATTTAAAGAAGGAAAAGAGGGGCAAATATAATTAGTTAGGTAGATCCTCCTCACTAACAGCTGCCGCTGGTTCTCCCCTGCTTGACACCCTGCAACATGTTCTTTTTTTTCTCAGATTTCTATGAAAAAATCACAACCTTATTGGTTTTTTTTTTCATTTCCATTCCTCCAGCACGTCAGTCACAGTAACAATTAAACCATTCTGGAATTAGAAGTAACAATTAAAAAAGAAGAAAGGCTAGGAATACGGTGGCAGGGAGGAAGAACTGAATGATTTCTTTTCTCCCCCCTCGTCCCCTGTATCATAGTGTTGAAGAAATAACATGATATTGCCTGATTAGATCTTTTTATGAGATGTACTCTGACACCTAGCCACATCCCCAAGCTCTCTTCTACTTTCCCCCAAAGCTCCCTCCTCCAGAAAGCCAATTCCACTTAAATTTATTAGTCTTCACTGTGTAAACCAAGGCTTTGATTGCATCACGTTTCAATGTGGTCTTCAAATTTGGTGTAACAACTAAGGAAGCCAGGTCAATTCTGTGTGTTTCTGTCATGTTGTCTGGGCTGGTAAGTCAGGATTGACTTTCTGCATGTCTGTATGGGTTCCTAGCTTGTTTCCCGGCAGCACGAGCAGCTAGGATTTGCTCTTGGTCCTCTCAGGCTGCTCATTCCCACTCGTTTGGAAACTGAGGAAAGCAAGGCATGCTCTCTAACACTGGTCACATTGTTTTTGTATCTGAACTGCTAAAACCTTTGCAGCCATACTGAAAGCATGTTGTTTTACTAAATCTCCCTTCAGTCTCTTCTGAAGGCTAAACTGAATTTCCTTGCACACCCACTTTTTCTTTTTAGTCATGGTTCTGACTCACTCTTCTCTGGAATCCTCCAGTTGTCCTAAATTTTTCCTGAAGAGCAATGCCTGAAACTGAGCACAATATTTGGCTGAAGCCACTTCTGTTCTGGGCACAATTAAAGGAGTCTTCCCACTTTCTACACACTGAGCACCTATCTGTAGATCCCAGTATGATGTTTGTCTTATTGACTGCACTGATACTGTTGATTTGTGTTGGTCTTATGAGTCAATACAGTCCCCTGATATTTTCTAAATAATTTCCTACTGAGGCAGCTGTTGCTGACCTCTGGGCAGCTGATTGTTTCTGCACATATTAAGGCTCATCCAGCTGTTTTCAGAATTTCTCCAACTTATCAAGAGCATTTTGAATTCTAGTCTTGTCCATGAGAATATCTGTATCCCCTTTCCATTTCATGTCATCTGTGAATTTAATAGCACATTGTGTATTCTGTCATCCATGGCATAAATACAAATGCCGATAAAATCAGATCCAGATCCAGGACGGATCTCATATTATAGCGCTTGATACCTCCTTCGCTTGGACAGGGAACCTTTCTAACTCCTTTTCGAATACAGTTTTCCAGTTGATTTCCATCTAGAATTTTTATTTGTTTGCTCATAAGAATGCTTCATGAGATAGCTAGTACCAAAAGTTTCAGTAAAGTCAAGATATGTGACAGCAACTGTTTCTCCCCTTCACTAGCACTCTTCTGCCATCATGCTGGATGTTATTCAGCTACTTGTTTATCATGCAGATGCTTAGAGCAAGTTTTGTTTTTTCATAGGATTTTTTTTTTTTTTGGAAAGTTGAAGGTAAAGTTACTGAGCTCCTTTGCTTTTCTCCCCCCTCTCCTCTTCCTTCAAAGACAGACCCTGTACTTAAGCTGTTCCCATCATTGATGGCTCACCTGTCCCCAGCTGTCCTTCTCAAAAATAACTGTTAACGGTTCTGAGACTGTTTCAGCCAGTTTTTCCACATATGCCAGACAGATGTTTATCAGGTTCAGCCAAATTAGTAATATATTACTCCAAGTACTGCCTAATCTGCTTTCTCTCTCTATATTTTTTAAAAGCATTTATTTACCCTTCTCTCACTGAGGTCACCTGTGCTAGTCACCTGCTCACCTTTTCAGTGGTAAGTGAAGGAAAAGCTTACTTTGGCGTTTTTGCTCTTTTCCATCCCTTTCCCCACGGAGCAGAGTAGCAATGTTTCTTTGCACTTTAACTTAACATTTATGTACTTAACTGGTGATGTCTTATAATGTTTGAAAAAAAGAGTGGTTCTTCCACAAGTCTTTGTGCAGGGACTGTGACCCTTTGTGAAAATAAACTTCTCCCTCATTTCAGAACGACTGTGCTGAGGTTGTCACTGAAACAGTACCACCGGCTCACTGGGTTGCAGGCTTACCTTGCTGCAAGGGCTGATACCAAGCTCTTTGTGTTTTCCCCTGCATGGCAGGGTCAGCTCACCAGGAAAAGCACTGGAGCACTGGTAATATAGTGGAGAAATGCAAACTAACTTGACTGGGGAGATAGGATAGGAAAAAAGGGACCTATGTTGGCCACATTAGCTTGTCACCGTCTCGAGAAGGTGAGAAAGGCTGCACTGGGGGGAAGTGACTTGGAAAAACGAGCTCACTGAAGCTGGCCTTGCTGGTCACCAGCAGTGAGAACAAGTGCCACCTGGGCATCCTGTCACATGCTAAAAATTAATGCAAACATACTCTTGCCTTTCTCATTTGTTTTCTCATGGGCTGCCAGTGGGTTAGGGAAGCAGATGCGGAGGTCGGGCTGTGCCGCTGCCCTTCTCGTATGGCTTCCTGCAGGCTCCAGTGTTTTTTGTATGTATGTTGTGTGGGTGTCTGCCAGAGTATGCAGCTGTTTTAAGATCTTCTCCAGCTTTCTGAGGTATGAAGAGCTGGCCTAAGCACCAGCTGGCCTCTCTGTTGCCTCCTGGTCCTTTTTCTCATTGTAGCACTGAAAGGAGTTGCACTGTTATCCTCCAAACTGGCATCCCTGTGGAGATAGCCTCACAGACCTCTTGTCTCCCAAACTCCACTACTGTGGGCTTTGTACCCCTCCAAGGCAACACAGTCCTACAAGACCAGAGTATATGCATATTTAAACCTAAATACTTCTAAGTACACCAGAGCACTACAGTGACTCATTTATTAGGTCACTCTGAGCCAGAGCACAGCAATATCATGAGCTGTAAAAAAGTTTTCAATTTTTAACGGCTACCTCACTCCTCAAAAAAAAAGCAACCAGTGATCCACATTCCAACAAACGTTAGGAAAAATCAACCTGCTATTTTCCTCAAGTGTTTCACATTCCAAAGCTTGTAGCTTTCAGGATGTTACCTGTCTGAGTTTAAGATTACAAAATGCTGAGTGAGTAAAAGGATGACAAAGCCATTACCACCACAGCTATCATCAGCTGCAATATTTGTGGGCTGAGTCGTGAGTGACACAAAATGGGCTATAAGGTCTTCATCTCAAAGCAGCTACAGTGTAAGGCTGAGGCACATTAGTGGGAGGTATTGGCATCCTTTCTTGATCAATAGAAGAAATGCTATATGCCTTTGTTGTTCTGGCAGTGTCAAATCCCTGCTAATGCAATGTGTCAGTCCAAGCACTAAAAGACAGTTTGGCAGAAAACGCTACACCTAGAAAATTTTAAATTTTTTTTAGAATAAGTAAATTCCATTTTGAACCAAAAGTACTTTTTGAATTACAAATATTCAAAATGGCTCAAAACGTCTTAAAATGGGAACACGAGTTAATGCTGTGTATGTTTCTGTCATTCACGTTCTGGGCAGAATAACTCAAACTTCCTTTATGCCGTTGCATCAAAGATGACGAACAGCCTCCTGGGCTGTGTTAGGAGGAGTGTTGCCTGTGGACTGATGGAGGTCATCCTTCCCCTCTGTCACTGGAGAGGCCAGATCTGGAGTGCTGAGTCCAGTGCTGGGTGCTCTAGTGTAAGAGAGAGATGGCCATACAGCAGTGAGTCCAGTGAAGTGCCACAAAGATGTTTAATGAACTGGAGCATTTCTTACATGAGAAGAGGCTGAGATAGCTGGGACTGTTCAGCCTCGAGAAGAGAAAGCTCAGGGGGATCTGATCAGTGTGCATAAATATCTGATGGAGGGGAGTAAAGAAGATAAAACCAGACTTTTATCACCAGTGCCCAGTGACGGGATGAGAGGCAGTGGGCACAAACTGAAATACAAGAAATTCCACTTACTTAAACATGCAATAAAACTTTTCACTGAGAGGATAATTGAACACTGGAGCAGGTTGCGCAGAGAGGTTGTGGAGCGTGCATCTTCAGAGACACTTAAAACGTGACTGGACATGGCCCTGAGCAATGTGGTCTAGCTGACCCTGCTTGAGCAGGAGGCTTGGGCCTACATCAGTGATTTTTGTGAAACTCTGAGAGGAGCAGAGCATAATTATTAAGGTGATCAGAGGAATGCAGAGCCTACCTTACAAAAAGACATTTATAGATAAACAAGGCAATATATGCTGAGCTTGCTTTCATTGGGCAAAAGCAAGGCTGAAAGGAGCCATGATCCCTCTCTGTAAAATACATATTGAGGAGCAGTTGACAGGGAAAGAACTACTGAAACTAAAGAACTACACTGGTGCAAGATTAACATGTAACAAAGTATAACCTGACAAGGAACAAAGTTAAACTTAAAATTAGGAGGACTGAGTTTCTAAAGCAATGCCCCGGTAAGAATAGTAAGAGTTTCTGAAAGGGGTTTTTTGACAAACAGTAGAAAAGGAACAGTCTCAGGCCTGGTTATTAATTAACAGGCAGAGCAGACTGCTGTCTGAAGCAGAAAAATTCATGGGAAGGCCTGGGGAAGAAAATCAGAGTCTTGGTACCAGGAAGTGTGCGCAGAGGCTGAGCTTAGCAGGAACTTACTGGCCGGTTGAGCTCTGTCTCATTATCTGCACACTGCCATGTACAGAAGGAAGATGGCACATTTTCTTAGGTCAGCTCTTTAAAAACATGCTCTGTTATAGAACCAGAAGAGTTTTGATCTTTGTTGCCATCTAAATCTCTCCTTTTTTTTTTTTTTTTTAAACGTAGATTTTGTCTTTCCCCTTTCTTTTAAGCTACAGCAGTCCATTTCACCACGGAGAGAAAATGGCAAAGGAGGAACCTGACGCGTCTGACTAGATAGCCTGGAAATAGCCCATAGAAACGATATTAAACTTTACACCTCGGGACACTTAAACCATAGCAAGCTTTATTAACCCTCAGAGAAAATAAAACAGGGACAGCAGGATTCTGCCAGGAAAGAAATCAGCTTCATGAGAGAAAGAGATAAAAAATTCCCAGCTCAAAATGAGAGAGCCAGGAAGATCAAAAATTTTTCAAGTAACTTTTATTCCAGCATCCCTCCGCTTCCAGCACACACTGACTCTTCCTTCCCTACCAACAGATATCCACAACCATCTGTGACCAGGGTTAGTCCCCCAGCAGATAAATCATTAACTCCACTGGTACCTTTAAACTTGAAAGCACCTAAAAAGAAAGTAGAGGAGGGAATTGACAGATTCAGTATGTGTCTCAAAAGACATGAGTTGGATGTGTCAGAGATTATGGTGCTGAGAAACAAACCAGTTAAGAACAGCTGACTCTGTGTTGCTGAACCTGCCAAGGAAGAATACCAGTTTATACCTAAATACTTGTCTGGTCTAACTAAAACTGATCAGTTTAAGAAGTGCCTACATTTCCATAGGGAGTTCATAGTAAAACATGAATTACTACAGAATGATTTCACAGGGAGCAAAGTATTAGAGCAGCGTGAAAGGAAACCAGCTAAGGAAAGAAAAAGTCTGAAAATTGATGGAAAGGTAAATTTTGCAAAATCTTTCTGGAAGAATGTATTGGTCTAGGTCTGGTTATGTGAGTTCCAGGAAAAAGGAATGGGTATGAGCAAATTCACCTCTCTTCTCCTTGTCAGAGAGCTGATCCCATTGCTCAGTCACCCACTTGCAAGATGCATGTACTCCAGCACCTGAAGCCCAGAACTGTGCTCCACCATGTCCCCTTCCATGTCTTCATGTGGAGGTGTGGGTTAGGTATACAGTAAAGCAGGATCTGGGCCAGCAGCTCCACAGGAACCAGCCTCTTGCCCAGCAGCAGCAAAAAAAAGGAAGCTACCTTCTTTATGTGTGCTGTGGAGTATGTCTTTGAACACAGACAGTTGCCAATTGATGGGATGCAAGGGTAATTTTGATGAGTCAAGCACATGCACCTGACAGAAGCTGTTGAGGCTGCTTGAGGTGAGGCTGCCTGGGGAAGCAGTAGCAATCTCATCAGTCCCCTGAAAGACAGCTGTGGGATCCAAGAAGCAAGACTAGGATACTGAATTCATAGAAGTTAGGGATGGAGTTTAATGAGAGCTGTTGAGCATAGGTAACCTAACAAATGGCTAATGCTAGTGTGAGCAGGGAATGAACTGGCATTTCATGTAGATAAGAGTAGTTTTTGAAAGAGGCACCTCGTCCCTTGCTGTGGTACTTATGGCCAGGTCTTCCTCATTTGTGAGATGCCAGGTAATTTATTAGTGAATCAGAGAAGTAAGTAGTGGTATTTACAGGACCAGGGGAGGAGCGGCTGCTGATAGAGAAAACAGAGATCAGGCTTGACTGAAGCAACCTTCCCACTAGTGGTGCTGAGTACAGCAGAAACTGGCAAAGAAATGAGCAAGGGAATAAGCAGAGCTCTTCCTTGGATGCTTCCAGCATACTACCTAAACTTTTCAAGAAAAGTTAGAAAGGTTGTGCGAAATGAGGGAAACGAGGGGACAAATTCATCCAATCTACTTGAGCAAGTAGCATAAACCATGTTCCACTAGTTCCTAGGAGGCATCACCTGCTCTGCTGTTAACTCACTTGCCAAAAAGTTGGTTACTTCTCACCTCAGTAAATATTCCCAGGCAGCCTGTGTGCTGAGAGGCAGAAGAAAAAGGAAGAAGGGATGAGAGGGGAAAAAACATTAAAGACAAAGAAGTGCTATATTATGACAGGATAACAACTTTATCTTGCAATTTTTAAAGCAATTTTTTCCCAGAAAACATTTTCCCCAGAGCAAATCTGAATCAGTACAATTTTTGTGGGTTAGTGCAACACCAGTAAAGTTTAGCAGAAAGCTGTACTAACTAGCAGCAATGGCAGTCTGTGGCCTTTGATTAAATGGACAAATTCTCTTCCAACCTGGGTTTGAAACATGGATATTCACAAAGTGAAAAACTCCCTTAGTCCATTATGTATCTAAAAAGCTTGTTGTGAAAAAGGCAATCTTAGGAACGGAGCATTTTGAAATGCAGCCAGCAACTCCAGAGAAAATGTTCCTATGACGGAGGAAATAACATAGGTTGCCTACGAGACATTTTCTTTCTCTGTCTCAGGTTTGTTACTCACAGCTGATACACATAATTACAAAATTATAAAGTATTATTTTAACTGTTGCATTCCTTAGCTAGGGTCTCTTGGGTTATTTATTTATTTGTTTACTAATGTTGTCTCTCTGAGCTACCAATTGCTTTAAGAGTTGCAACATGTTTCAAGGGCTGCTTCTCCCAGCCCTGGAGATGATCTGCTGAAGTTGGTAGAGACAGACTGATTTGTTCTTTTGGAAGGATTGACTGTAAACACATAAGCAAGACTTTCAACAATAAGTGCAAGTCTAATGTAATAATTCCTTTCTGCCCGCCAAATCTGAGTCTTTGTTTTCTCCTCATCTTTTGATGGTCAGTACATCCTATCTCGTTCAATGTGAACTGTCTTCTTATTGATGGTCAAAATCGAGAAGTCAAGTTGAGACCATGGACTTGATCTCCTAACAATCTTCAGTTGCTGTGTTCTCATGACACTTTTTACTGCGCGCTATCAGAATGAATGGCATGATGAACCAAGTAACACATTCTGATAGTAGCTGTTTTAGAGCACCTTCCTCACATGCACTTGTACAGTTGTTCATGCTGATGATTGTACAGGAGCTCCAGAAAATCTGGGACTGTGATCCCCTCCATTTCAAACAACCGCAGGTTGCTGAGAAAGTGTTTGAAGATATTTGTGACAGCTCTCTGATATTTGGTGATATTCTGAAGGAAATTAAAGTCAGTTTTTCCTAAGTTTAGCATGACATAAGCTAAACGCACATTAACTACTGTTTCTTGTGCTACTTCCCAGTAGCCTTTACCATTTTTCTTAGTGCGTCTGGCACATCTATGCACTCTTAGCTACAATGAGAAAATGACAATGCTGGGAATTTATATTCTTCAGGAGACTTTTATCTGACCCCTTGCTTACATGTTGAAATCAAACATACCCAACAAACATGGGCTCAGAAAATCATTTCTATCACTAATGCTCTCAAAGGAGCTGATTCTTTCCTCATTTGAGCTCCTTCTCCTACTGTATGTAGGTAAGCAAACAAGAGCAGAGACTAAAAGTTTTAACAGATATGCCACTACAGCAATTCAGTTTACCAATCTGCCCAGCAACTTGAGGTGACACCACTTCCTTCTCTAAGCATCATCATGTTAATACACAACGGAGAAATCAGAAGCAATGGCATACCTCTTTAGATCATTCAAGTCCCAGAGATGTGTTGTGTATGTGAGGCAGGAGCTTTTGGGAACAGAGCTGGGGAGCTGACAGGAA